AGCTAAGTAAAAAAAAAGGAAGGCGAAGCACTCGACCGTGTAGTATATACAGAAACCTAAACATTCCCATTTAATACGTGTTAATATTTTGGTGTTCTTTATTATTTAATCATTTATTAATAAATGGACCAAATAGTTAGAATGAGGTATCAATCGATCGAGAAAATCATAGGCTACGTGCTTTTATAATTTCAATAGAATCGGTTGAATAATATTTTAGTTATGATCAAAAAACTGTGGATATTTAAGTGATCATTTTATATTACTTTCGCCGCCGGCTGCCGTATTAAACGCGTCATGTGGACGGAGACGGGTGAGGGGATTCTTGCGACGGCGGCGTGTGTCTCCCACTACTATTGCTTCCCACCACCGCTAGACACATACAACACACGGACATAGTTCACTATCGCTTATCGGTATCGGTGCACAGGGTTGCCATGTTGGGCGATTTATCGCCAATTGGGCTATCTTTGTTGGACTGAAGTCGCCAATAAAATATGACTTGCGACCAGTCGCCAATTGGGCTACCTAAATAAGTCAATTTTACAATTTTGGGCGATTTCAAATACCATTCTAAATTATATTTTTTTTTACGGAAAAGGATATTTTATTATATTAAAATCAAATTATTTATTTTCATAAACGCAATCAAAAATAAATAAAATGTTATGTCTGATAACAGGCGATGATAAAAAAATAAAAATATATGTTGGCTGATAAAATTATAGACCTATTAGGTCTATGGATAATATGAATGGGGACCATATTGTCTCGGGATCTTAATGTTTCGGTATTGAAGCATGTTTAAATTTTAAAAATAACTTTTGTTATTGTCAAATGTCAAAACTTCAATAGTCATTAATCAAAAGTTGACAGTCGTAACTCGTATAGTCGTATTCCTTTGGAATTTCCGATAAATAGAATCGGATAAATGTTATATTTTGTAATATTATTGTGATCAACTATTCCATAACTTTTTATTATAATTTTTTTAATATAACTTGTGATATTGTAATGGGGAAGTATGCAAAGTACACAAAAAAATACAACCCAGATTGGGAAAAATCTGAAGTTTTTTCTGGTACCTAAATATTATTAATTGTGAAATATTACTAATATTAGTTTTAGTTTGCTTATTTTTAGTGTTTACCTACCTATTTCTATTTTATAGGATGGCTTCAGCAAGCTCCAGAGGCATTTGCTGGTAGGGGAGAAGCATTTTGTAAACTATGTCGGGTACCATTAAGAGCACACAAAACAGATTTAATGAAACACTCAAATACAAATGCTCATAAGCACAGAGCTAATAGTATAAATGTTACAAAACAACCGGGACTATCATCATTTGGTAAGTTGAACTTGAATTTTAAAAAAAAAGTAAATTTCTGAAGTGTAACGGTTATTTTAATTTAGGAATTATAGTCAAAACTGACACAGAAAAAATTAGAGATCTTAAATTAGCAATGCATATAGCTACACATTCTGCCATTAGAACAATCGATCATCTCGGTGAAATTTTAAAAGATTTTGGTGGGCCATTTAATTCACTTGAACTACATCGAACTAAATGTTCAAAATTAATTCTAAATGTTATAGCCCCAGAATATTTAAAAGAACTTATCGATGATATAGGTTTAAAATCATATTCCATAATCCTCGATGAATCAACAGATATTGGCACACACAAGTATATGGCTTTTTGTGTCAGATATCATAGTGTTGCTCTTTGTGATATGGTTACCGATTTTCTTGGATTTGTGGAGATTGAAAAAGCTACTGCAGAAGTATTAAAAGATGCATTTTTAGACTTTTTAGTTCGATCCAAATTAGACATAAAAAATTTAATTGGAATTGGCACAGATGGTGCAAGTAATCTTTGTGGTAAAAACAAATCATTGTTCACATTATTAAAGGAAATAGTACCAGATCTTCAGCTTATTAAATGCATTTGTCATTCGCTTAACATTTGTTCAGCTCATGCATGTGAAGAACTACCTAGTAGTTTAGAATTTCTGGTTCGAGAGACAAGAAATTGGTTTTCATACAGTTCTTTGAGACAATTGACTTATAAAAGTTTATTTGAAGCATTATATGATGGAAAGACTCCACCTAAGTTGCCTCAACTATCAACCACTCGCTGGTTAGCTTGGTATAGTTGCATCAAAAGTATACTTGAACAGTTTTTGGCTTTGAAAACTCACTTCAATATTATAGCTCAAAGCAAAGAAGGTTGTTACATGTCTAGAACATTAAATGACATGCTTAAAGATGATACCCATTTGTTATATTTAATGTT